CAGTAACATCTTGTGATTCTTGCATTTCAACTCACATATTAAATAATCATACATGTATTCCCTGTACTAAACCTTGTTATGAATGTAATACAACAATAACAACATGTGTCTCATGTATTGATAATTTACATTAATCAACACCTACTTGTTAATGTGAGAATGGATATTTTTTAAATACTTAAACATTTATGTGTGACTAATGCTAATTTCCATGTTTAACTTGTGAAACTACTGCTTCTACTTGTTTATCATGTTCACTAACTTATACATTAATTTCAAATAGTTGTTCATGTTAAATCAATGAATTTGAAGCTGATACAAATCCAAAAAGTTGTTTTGGTTGCTTAAGTCCTTGTAATACATGTTCAGGTTCATCAACAAATTGTCAATCTTGTATAACTGGATTAAATAGACATTTAAATAATTAAACTTGTATTTGTGATGATAGTTATTTTGAAGATGAATCATGCAAACCATGTAAATTACCATGTAAAAATTGTTCTTCAGAGAATACTTGTCTATCTTGTAATGATTAACTCATACAAATTTTGCCATAATGTAATTGTTAAGATGGATATTTCATGGATTAATCATTTCAATGTTAATAATGTAGTCATCCATGTATTAAATGTCATATAGATTCTAATTCATGTTTAGAATGTGCTTCTACATTCAATATCAATAACATAACTAAAATTTGTTATTGTTTAGATGGATATTATGAAGACTTAAATTATAATCCATCGAAATGTGAATTGTGTATTGGAACTTGTAAAACTTGTAAAAATTCATCAACTTTTTGTTTGTCTTGCATTGATGAACATTAACTTATAAATGAATTAAATTAATGTATTTGCTAAGATGGATATGTTCTGATTGGTAATTCATGTGAGTTATATGTTCCTCCATGTATTAAATGTTAAACAACTACTGAGACTTGTACATTATGTTAAGATATTCATCATATAATTGAAAATGGCAAATGTAAATGTGATTAAGGATGGATAAGTGATTAGAATAACAATTGTATTAAATGTTAATTACTTTGTTAAACTTGTTCAGAAACTTAGAATCATTGTGATTCTTGTAATGATGATAATCATATTCTTAATGAAAATTTTAATAGCATATGCAAAGATTCCTTTTATGCTGATTCCTTAAGTTCCTGCACTCCTTGTTAACCATTATGTGCAACTTGTGACCAATATGGATGTTTGACATGTTTAGATACAAATCAGATATTAATCAACAATTAATGTAAATGTTAAAATGAATATTATATGAACAATTATTCATGTCAAGGATGTTAAAAACCATGTCTAAATTGTACAATCAGTGCTAATCATTGTCTATCTTGTGTTGATAATACTAAATATATTTTAGAATAAAATATATGTAATTGTAGAGATGGATATTATTTTAGTGAAAATTTATGTCTAAAATGTTCTCCTCAATGTTAAACTTGTGTAGATGCTTCTAATAAGTGTCTTAAATGTTCAGACACAAATTTAATTTCTATTCAAAACAAATGCTAGTGTCAAATTGGATCCTACTATAATGAAGATTTTAAATTTTAATTATGCAAAGTTGGTTGTATTAGCTGCTATTCATAAGAAAATTGTACTGAATGTTAAGAATAATATTAACTAAACGATGTTTAATAATGTCTGAATTGCATTGAAAATTGTAAACTATGTTAAGATTATTAATCTTGTGATTAATGCTAAGATGGATATTTCTTTGTTGATAATCAATGTAAAGAGTGTATTCCAGATTGTAAAACATGTGTAAATTAATCAGATAATTGTACTTCTTGTTTATAGACATTTGATTTAGTTGATAATAAATGCATTTGCAAATAAGGATATTACAGAGATAATGTTGATTGTTTTCAATGCTAATTTCCATGTGGAATTTGCATCTCCCAAAAAATTTGTACATAATGTTCTTAGATCTAACATATTATTCTTGAAAATGATTCTTGTGTCTGTTAATAAGGGTATTATTTATCTAATTAAAACTAATGTTTAGAATGCAATTTCAGATGCAAATCATGCAATTCATAAGTTGAATGCACAAAATGCTTTATTGAATAGAATAGAATTTTATAAAATAATGATTGCATCTGTAATTCTGAGTATTTTGAATCTGAAAATAATGAATGTTTATCATGTAATTCTATTGAAGGTAAAAGCAAGGAAGATTGCAAATATAAAGATTGTACTGATAAACAATGGACATATGGAGAAGATTGTGATGATGGAAATACAATAGAAAGAGATGGATGTACTAATTGTAAAATAGATCCTAATTACAAATGTATCAATAAAATACTTGAACCTTCAATTTGTTTTAAATGTAATGATAATTGCAATTAATGCGATTTTTCTAAATCATTAAATTCAACTATTTGTACTAAATGTGAGTAAGGATACTTCATTAAATAATCAGTTTGTGTTAAATGTGCTCAATAATGTCTATAATGTATTAATAGTGCATCTAACTGCACTTCATGCCGATTTAAATAAAATATTTAAGGATAATGTGTAAAATGTGAAGATATTGTTGGCTTATACTCTAATTTTGAAAATAACACATGTTATTCTAAGTGTGGAGATGGAATAATGAGTGTTGATGAAGAATGCGATGACAGTAATATATTAAATGGAGATGGTTGTGATCGCTCATGCAGATTAGAAAAATAATTTATTTGTAAAGGTTCAGTTTGTATCTAACCTGAATTACCAATTCCAATTCTAATATAAGCAGGTGATCACTCTTTATACAATAATATTAGATTATTTTAATTATCATATAATATACTTATAGAATTTAACAATGATATAGATTTTAATAAGGATGTTGAAATAATCATTCTGAATGGTTAGGAAGAAATAAACATAAAATAATAATGTGATATCTCTTCTGATATGAATAGGATTAATTCATCCTAACTCAACTTAACTGTTAATTTTTTGATATCATTTAATTAAAGCATAAAGAACTAAGAACTCAAAATTAGCTTTACCAACCTTTCTCATTTTAAATCTAACAATGGTTATCAATAATAGTAATAGATAGTAACAACCAAAATTGCTGATATTATTTTTGTTGATGCAACAACAGTTGAATAGGTTGAAATGGCTTCTTCAAGCAATTAATATATTCTGTATGCTATTGGAACAATGAGTGGAACTGCTCTTTTATTTGGAGGGTTAGATATCTTTTATAATCTTCTAGATACAATACAAATATTGTCATATTTAAAGTATATTAATTCTTAATTTCCTTTTAATTTATAAGAGTTTTTTAATTGCTTTGAATTTGTACAAATGAATTTCATTTAAAAATATTTCAATTTTTATGACCTTTTTAACTTTTCTCTGATTAATGAAAATTTTAACAATATTCCACTCAAAATCAAATAAGATAATTTAACACCTCTGTTTATAATAAACAGTGCATCAGTTATTTTCATTTGGTTTACTTTGATTCTGATATACATTGTTTCAAAAAAGATTCCATATTATTTACACCGACTAGATTTTAAATACTATGATGATATCCCAAATAAAAAACCCAGCTTGATCCTTAAAATTAAATACCTAATTTTAGCTATGAAAATATCTATAACAAGTTTTTGTCTAAAAGTATTACGAGAATTCTTTTGTAGTGGAATATATAGAGTTTTGATTACAACTGCTTATGATTTTAATTTTGCTATAGTCCTTTAATTGTATTCATTAGACATAATGTCATAGAATATTTTAATAAGATTATCCTCAATACTTGCATTATTAACATTTTTCTTCTACTTATTTATTATTTTTCATATAATTAAACTCAGTAGTTAAGATAAATATGCATTTGCAAATTATCAAAATAACCTCAAATATGGAACATTATTTGAGGGTATTAAGAAGAATAATGTAGGCAAATATTTTAATGCTATCCTGCTGATTAAGAAACTATTTTTTATGTTAACTGTAATATTTTGTTATGAAGCTCCATCTGTTTAGATAATAAATTTAATTATCTTTACTTCTGTACAAGCTTATTTCTTACTATCTTTTAAACCACTTACTGATTCTAAGGAATTCATAAAACAATTTAGCTGCGAACTTATAATTACAGTAATTTCTTTAGATGCTATTCAACAATGGATATTTCTATTATAAAAGTAGAAAAAGTTTAAAAGATTTATAAATAATCTATTAAAACTATTTAAACCAACCTTATTAAAAGCAATCGATCATAACATATTATTAGGAAATGTTATATTATTTTAGTTATATGACAGCATGAAAGTAAATTGATTTTTATATTAATAAATTATAAATGCGTTGAATAGTTTATTATTATATATTATTCTATGATCAATCTAAGAAATTGTACTTTTTTTTAAGATTAGTTTCATCATACTAAAGTAAATGGTGAGTTTTTCCGTCATTTACATAAAGACCTTTAAATTTTTCATTAAATTTTAAGGAAATATTAATGTTTAATTCAATTATTTAATAATTTGTTTAGTTAAAATACTTGAATTTTATAGGAAATAATTGTTTTGTTTTTCAAAAAATAAGGTAGAATTTTTACTAACTTATTAACATATTCAAAATAATTGGAATTTTTTTAAATGCAAATACTGTCCTCAATTCCTCAATTCTCGAAGAACTAAACATTTCATGATAATACACTATTAATAAAATCTCGATTAAACTTGAAATATCCGTATATACATTTTTTTCTTTTCTCTAAGATTATTTGCATTAATTTTCGATTGTATTATATGGATAGATACATACTTTATTTTCTGGAAGATGGATTTAATTTGATTATTATGTACAAGACTAAAAATCTTGATAGGTTTGGACCATCACAATCTTAACAGCCAAGATTTATAATTAAGGGTTATTTCTTGTAAATTACCATATTTAAAAACTGAAAATTATTAAATTAATAAACATTATTATTATTAATTTTCTATCCATTATAGAATGTAATTTCCCCTTTTAATTTAGACTTTAATAAATCTACTCTATACCAAATTATTATTTAATTTTAAATTAATCATTTTTTCTTAAATAAAAGGATCATCCGAAAAATCGATTGAAATATCTGGAAAAAGTATAATTATATGTAGTAATTTCTAATCATTGTATTTTTGAGAGATATGATAGAATAATTAGAAAGGAGATAAGTTTTTGAATCTATAATTCTGGATATTATAAACTGGCTGAAACCTTCATTAATTAATAACTAAATATTCCATATGAGTTTTTATTTTCATTTATTCAAATCCATCCTATTAGAGAGAGGGAATCACCATTAAAGTTTCTGATATAAATTAGTATTATTATTAATTTAAAAATCATTTAATATTGTTGATTTTTAACACAAACACTAGAATTAAACTTTAATTTTTATTTAATCTTAAAGACTATTAATGAAATTAAAATCAAGATCTAAATTTTAATGAATGGATACTTTTTATAACCTTATTAGGCCTGAAAATAAGAAAACCCATCATTTAACTATATTTCTGAATTTAGTACTTAAAAAAAAATTACCTCCAAAATGTAATATTAAATTAATTTCTTTTGTTTTTTGAATTACTACAACTTATTTCTTTGTTACTATCAAATGGAGCATATCTAATTTGGATCATACTATTTTTTGAAAGCAATACCAAATATTTTCATAATAAAATGAATCAATTCTTAGTAATAGGAAAGGGAATTATTTTATTCTTACAAATCTTCAAGTGTAATGACTCGATTGAATATCTTTTTGAGTTTATTTACAAAACATAGTTTACAAATTTCTTTCTAAATCAGAGTTAATAATATAATACTAAAATTATAATGTCATTAAATTTCACTACTATGGAAGGGCTCAAGAATTTTATTTATTATATCTTTTAATGGTAGTTTCAAATAAGTTTTGAAACAATAATACAATGTGTTGGCTATTATTTTAAGATTTTCTGATAATGTATTGTCAATAAAATTAATTACTAACATATGAAAACAGTATATTATCATTAATATATTCAAATACTCAAAGTACTCAAAAAATAACTGATTTGAATGATATCTTTTTATTATAATTTGGAGCCCATTTTTATTAGTTAAAAAAGTTTTAACCTTGACTTTTTACGAAATCCAAAGGGTGATACTAAAATAAGTTTAAAAATAAAAACCAATTTTTAAATAAAGATTAATACAATTAATTCTTAGGGTAAGTTTCATGATTATATGAAGTGTATAATTGTAATTCATTATGATCCTGGTTTATAAAATAAAATGTTGTATTTTCTTTTATTCAAAATTGTTTTAAAGAAGTAAATGACTTTTTGATGTTTTTGAATCTGATTTTATAAATTATTTGTTAATATAGTATATTTTTTCATATTTTAACTTTTTAAAATATCTATAATTGGTTTACTTTTATTAAATAAACCATAAAATTGGATTTAAATATTATTAAATTTTATGACATAATTTGATCTTTCTCCATAATTATTAGCTTATAATTATTTTAAATCACTTATAGCACAATTCAATCTAATATTTTTGCATCCACATTTCCTAATTAAAGTCATCTTGGACAAGTCATACCAAAGATAACTAATATTATAAGCTGTAATTATATAAAAATAATAATTATGATTATTATAAAGAAATCAAATTTTTTTTTTATTAAAATATATTTAATTTAATTATAATCTAATATTTAATTGATTGACTGAATATATCTAATTCGTTAAAATATATAGTTTTATCCTTTATTTTAATATTATATTAATGATTTAAAGGGGTTATTGTTAAAAGTATTTAAATTTTAATTGCAAGTCTTATAAACATATTTTAATAAAACAATCTATTAGAAATTTAGTTAAAGTAAAATCAAGATATATTATTCTTTATAAATATTGTTAAGATAGTTAAGTGTTGTTCTCTCTTATTTGAATGAAATTCGTTTTATCTTGAATTTAATATTAATTTTAATGCCACCTTTAATTTCATTTCTCAAAATATTGTTTCTGAAATCAATAATATATGAAAATTGTTTAACAGATGATGTTGCTGATTGTAGATATACAGATTTTTAAATTGTTGGAACGAATGATGCAACTTTAGATAGGTGTGGATCACAACCTAAAAATTTATTTATGGGGCCTTATGGATTTAAAACTTAAGTAACCAAGACATTTACAAATGTTCCCCCTAATAATTTAATTGAATTATAAGTTGGTATTTGGAAATTAGACTCTTGGGATAAAGAAGGATTTGAGATTTATGCAAATGAAGTGTAAATTGAAAATTTAATATTGAATTATGATGATGGTACAATGATTTGTAGAACAGAATTTTGGTAGGATTTGCTTTAGCCTCTTTCACTAAAGTTTTAAATAACAGGAACTGATTTAACTATTAAGTTAAAAGACAATTTAAATTCTAATTCTTGGTTCGAAGATCTAAATGATGGTATTAATTGAATGATTTCTAGAATCTTGGGGATTTAGAGACATAATTTTAAGACTTGCTGTTACTTGTGTGAATTTTTATAGTGAATGTAATTACAATGGAATGTTATTATAAATATGCTAAGGAGAGTAAAAAAAATTGTAAAACTAAATTCCTTTTGAAATCAAATCAATACTCATGGGTCCTGGAATAATTGTTAAATTGAAAGGCCCAAACTACTTTGAAGGAGTATTATAAGAGTTTTCTTCCTCATGGACTTGTTTGAATAGTTTTTAGGTATTCATGTAATATTTATTTTCAGTTTCCAAAAGTTATCTATCAAGAATGATTAAATAAAAAGATTATTAAAAGATATTTTTATAATATTTAGTTCTCATAAAAATGCATATTATTAATATCATTAATGTTTAGAATTAGTCTCCACCATATTTTATTCTATTTCCAATAAAAATAAAAAAATGAGCGATTTGATTTTTGTATTTCTTAAAAATTTTTCTCCCATACTTCAATTTATTTATAAAAAATTTTATTTTTGATATATGATTTAATATAATATGGCCATTTCAATCATTAGTGATTTTGCATTAGTGCCCATAATTGATAGTCTTACTAAATCATTAGGTTGATATAAAAAAATATGTTATAATTTCAATTTTTATAATTTATAATTGGGAAAATTAAATTCACCCTTATTTTAGTTCAAATATTAAAATAAAAATTATATAATTTTTATTTAAGGTTTAAAGTTTATTTCCAAAATTCATAGCATATAAGGACTTAATTGAAATTTTTCATCTTTTGATGGAAGCTATACTATGGTTATTATTATTGGTTTGAAGTCAATT